AAAATGCCTAATAGATGAGCATTACTTAAGAGAAATTCAGATGGCTACAAGCCGAAGATTTCGCTGTTATCAGTGACAGCCGTAGAAAAAGTATAGTATATAACTCGCACGGAATGCTAATTTCTAATCAAAATGACTATCATTCCGTGCTAGTTAAATAGTACAGGGTGATTCACGATGAGCGTTAATTAGACGGTTCTGGCAAACCAAGCAACAGATGAATCCGAAAATTTGATGGTTAGTATGACTTGACATGATCTACACGTTTAAAATATTTTAAAGGATACGATGTTGCTGCTTCTACCAGAAAGTAGCAGCAAGTTTGATGTTTTCGAATGGAGCACCCTTTTCGTTAATCTATGCATATTTAGATTCTTCCTGAAGAGCTAATTTCATGAATGTATAACACTTGGGGTCTGGCATGGAACATGACAGAAATATAGGGTGTTCGAAATCGACATTTTTCAACTGTGTCAAAACGGCTTACATGTCCCTATCTGTTTACTATTAACTTACGTTCAATTGAGACATATACAGACTGATCAGAATTATAAATCCACCCTGTGTTTGTTCCAATCAAATGTCGGTAGATAGTAAATCAAAAGTTGAGATAGAGACATTGATGCCATTTTGAACAATAATGAGTTTCTACAAAAAAAATCCTTAAGTAGAAAAATCTCAATTTCGAACACTCTATATCTCTGTAATCATTCTCGCTGGACCCCAAGTGTGATGCATTGATGAAATCAGCTCTTCAGCGAGAATATAAAAATACAATGAAATACAAGGTGTTACATTTGAAGTCATAGTTGCTGATACTTTTTCGTAAAAGTGGCAAATTTTCAGATTCATCTGTTGCTTGGTTTGCCAGAAACGTCTAATTGTGAGAAACCTTGTATACTATTTCGCGATATGCACTAGATTCTTGCTTGAAACTGATACGAGCACTTAAGCAGACCGACCGTACACGATGACATCTAACACAAGACTGACACGATTCATCACCTCGTCCCGAATGACAAATTAGTTGCGTCACCTTTCTATCCTATCAAGTCCCGAACAAGTATTCATCTATGACTGATAATGATAATTATGATGATATTTCAAGTAGATATACAGGGAGATGGAATGAACATGAAATACACTACTCTGGTATACAGGGTAATTTGAGACGATCATCTCAACTCAAATATTGCGAAATTTTGATCATCTTTCTGATTTCCGATGAAATCTAGCTTTTTTTTGTCTCAGCTTATATCTCTGAATTATCATTGAAATTTCACAAATCACATTTTCGATCAATTAAAAAAGTCTGTATTCCGTATCGTTACCATCTCGGTTACCATAGTAACTAAACAAATTTCCAGAAATTTTTTCCTCCTTAGGGGGAAGGAGCATGAAATTACACTGAAAGATTTCTCAGGAATGTATAATTGGGCTAAAAATGAATCAATTCAGCACTTCACGAAAGCATTGTATAATGCGTAGGTACATGTAGGTACTTATTCAGTCTTGTGAGAAGACTGAAATTCTCATTATCGTTTACTAAATTCATTTTTGTTGCTTGGAGTAAGAAATCGATTCATTTTCTCGCAAAGTGCCTATCACGTGTTAGAAAAGATCAAAAAACTCACCAGTATGAAATCTGCATATAGTCCACATATGAATTCTCAAAACACTTCACAAAACACCGACACAACACTATAACGAACGATATATTTTAAAGACACAGTATTATCACTCACTCTTTTGAATAAACACAGTTGTAGAATTGAAACAGTTCTTTTTCTACGGCTATATAACACAAAAATGCTGTTTTTTTTTCACAAAATCTATCTTCCATGAAACGTCACATTTCAAGCAATGAAAGATCTGTCTAATAAATGAGCATTGGTCAAGAGGAAATCAGATGGCTACAAGTCGAAAAAATCAAAAATTTCGCTGTTATCTGTGACAGCCGTAAAAAAAGTATAGTGTATAACTAGCACGGAATGCTAATTGCTAATTCCGTGCTCGTTAAACAATACAGGGTGATTCACGATGAGCGTTAATTAGACGGTTCTGGAAAACCAAGCAACAGAAGAATCTTAGAATTCGATGTTCAGTATAACTTGACATGATCTACACGTCTAAAATATTTTAAACAATGCTGCGTAGCCGCTTCTACTAGAAAGTAGCAGCAACTTTGATTTTTCAAATGGAACACCCTGTTTTTTATTGCATTTTTAGATTGTTCCTGAAGAGCTGATTTCATGAATGCATCACACTTGGGGTCTAGCACAGGAGATGACAGAGATATAGGGTGTTGAAAATCGACATTTTTCAACTTAAGGATTTTTTGTGTCGAAACTATTCATTATTTGTCGAAACGGCTTACATGTTCCTATCTTAACTATTGATTTACTATTTACTTACCTACATTCAATTGGAACATATACACGGTGATGAGAATTATGAATCCACCCTGTATTTATTCCAATGAAATGTCGGTAGATAGTAAATCAAAAGTTGAGATAGGGATGGAAGCCGTTTTGACCACTCTGAAGTATAAAAATCTTGATTTTGAACACCCTATATTTCTGTAATCATTCCCGCTAGACCCCAAGTGTGACGCATTAATGAAATCAGCTGATCAGGGAAAATCTAAAAATGCAATGAAATACAGGGTATTGTCACGATAGAATGATATGACGATAAAAGGGTTGGTTCTCCACCCTGTCACAATAAAAGATGGTTGGTCTATTCATATTATAAGCGGTAATGCTTGGCTCAATATTTTGCGAGAGGTAATATTCAAATAGGCACTAATAGTTCAGGGGTAACTGAAAGTACGAGACTATATTCAAAGATAACAGTATGTATTGAAGTATGAAACATTATAGGTGAAGTGATGATAAATAGGAATAGACAACAATGAATATAAAGACCTAATGACAACTTACATTATAACGACCATACGACGAGCTCTTGTCAAGTCAAGAGTAGCCCTAGACCAGACTAACTTCGGAACCCTCACATCCAATATTTATATACATTTTATTAGATATGCACGTTTCTCATGAGAGTTCCTTGGTCAGTTTTTTATAATTCAATGTCAACGGATGATTTGATTTACTTTATGTTTATAAAACCCTCATGGTTCGAAATTACTAATATACCGTATGTTCTACTCGTGACAGTATTCCATTCGAAAAGTCATAGTTGCTACTACTTCCTAGTAGAAGTGGCAACGCCGCTTCGTTTAAAATATTTTAGACGTGTCGATCATGTGAATTTATACATACCATCAAATTTTCAAATTCATCTGTTGCTTGGTTTCCCAGAAACTTCTTATTAACCCTCATCGTGAAAAACCCTGTATATTATTTCGCGATATGCACTAGATTCTTGCTTGAAACTGATACGGGCACTTTAAGTAGAGCGACCGTACGCTATGACATTCAAAACAAAACTGACACGATTCATCACCTCGTCCCGAATGACAAATTAGTTGCGTCACCTTTCTATCCTATCAATTCCCGAACAAGTATTTATCTATGACTAATAGTGATAGTATAATGATAGTAATGATATCTGAATTACACAGGGTGGTGGGCTGGAACATGGATACACTAAATATATACAGGGTCATTTGAAACGATAATCTCAACTTGAATGCGGACTTTTGGTCAACTTTCTAATTCCTGATGAAATACAGTTTTTTTTTTCGTATCAACTTATAACTCTGAATTATTATTGAAAATCACATTTGAGGGATACCTAGGTGTATATTATAAAATTACATTTGATACATCACATATGTTCCAAGTCGGTTCAATTTCAACTGATTCGAGTTGATTTTTCCATTCGAATAAAATTGGTAACATAAATTTCAAAATTGAACACGGTGTATTGTATGTGTATTTTTCGGATCAAGAACCATTGTGTTGGAAAAGAATCATACTCCAATCTAAAAGATAATGAAGCTAAGTTTAACTACTTACTTTTGCCACAGCGCATTAAATAGTGAGGATGAAAGAGTAAATTTTGTTTTTCTTGTATAATGATCAAGCCATCAGCTTTTCTTGGAAACTGAAATTCATGATAATATTCCGAATCTTGAATCCACAATTTCACCAAAATCGGAAAGAATTATAAAAGTTACAAGGCAATCGATTTTGTTTAATTTTATACCGGGTGTTTATGCCGGTGAGTGAAACTTGGCTCTCAAGGGGAACTTTTTTCTCTATTTTTCGTTCGTGGAATCTAGAGACTATGTTCGTATTCTTTGCCAATTATGGTACAATCTGTATTATTATCACCTATAATTACACAAAAGCCACTTCTTTCTTGAAGTAAACATATAGTTTTCATTTTTGAAATTTGGTAATTTCTCTGATTCCTCATCGGAATTCTTTCTGAGATAGGAGCTAATAGAAATACACCTGAAATTTCTAAAATAATGCAAGAAGATTGGATTCATGCAATCAATCGGGAGGACTGGTCTGACATGCTGACGATGTGTGTTGTAGACATTTTCAATCAATTAGCAGTATTAGCTTGTATTGCAGATGTGGCAGAAGGCAGAAGGAATTTCAATAAGGAATGACAACACATTTCACAATGATAACTATGTGAGATTACTATTTACCTGAAAAATCATATACTTTAGTCTCTTGCTGCATTTTTTGTGCATTGTACAACAGCACAATGCGAAGGCATGCTCGAATTAATGAATAGCGCAAAAAACACGATTCGTATGCCAAAATATTGTGAAAAACTATTTCATTCATTTGATTCCTCTGTAACCAAAAAAAGTGAGGTTGTGTTTCAATAATTCACAGAAGAATGAGGTTGTGTTTCAGTATTTTGCCTCCAGGGTCGGTCTTCGTGCACGCGACCTATATAGGAAAAACGTCAAAACGGCAGTGTCAAGTACATTTAAGAACTCTAGCCTGCACTACCCTATGTCGCAATTTGCGTTGATGCATTAAAACTATTTGTTTACAAAAACATGTGCTATCCGCTGCGACACCTGTGTTGCCTGCGTCTCAATGTGCGCCCGGGCTAACACCTGTTACACAATTTACTATTTCCTTTCCAGAGACGAGCACAATGTCCAGCTGCCGCCCTTCGGCCAGTACGGCACCGGCATCTTCTTCCTCGACAAGCTGCACCACCAGGAGTCCGAGACGAAGTTTGCCGAGTTGGCCGAGGAGTTGGACATCGCCGTGCTGGCATGGCGGTCGGTGCCCACCAATAACTCCTCCATTGGAGCGGTCGCCAAGAACTCCGAGCCCTTCATGAGACAGGTAGACTCCCATTGAGAAAAGTAAAATAGTATATTGTGCAACGAAGAATTTCACAATTTTTGACTGAGTTCACTCGCTGGTTTTTGTTAGGGTTCCTTGATGGAAATTGACGTTAAAGTTATCTTAACAGGGTACGGACAGATCCTCGTCTCCTCTCACTCTAAAGTGTTTGTGAAACAGTTATATAGTTCCATCCTTATCCAATTCTGGGGATAAACACTAGATTTTAGACATTCGTTGTTTTTTAGGTTATATGGAGGTCACTGGCGTATATCATACGTAATTCCCATATGGAATTCCTGATTGAACTATACCAAGATATAGATGAACAATCTTCTAGTTATAGAGTTTACTACTAATACTACTCCAGCATAATCTTAGCGATTTAGGGAACATATAAATTGTACTGAAAGCTTAATATATTTCTGTTGACTGAATTGACTGAATGAATTCAAGCTGAGCAGTAGTTTATCTAAGAGCTGGAATGAGCTGAGCCTTATGATTGAGAAATGGTGGAAACCTCGATGTGGGTATCTAGACTACTGTACTCATGTCATTTGTGCTAAATATATTGTCAGAAATCCAACTCGGAGAAGAATTTATGGAATTACTAATATCACTCTATGTATAAAACTTCGTCTAGGACGAAAAGTAGATAAAAGCTGATAAAAATTGATACGTGAAATGTGCAGGAAAATAAAGAATAGAATATACTTCACCCCCATGTTATACATATGATTTTTCCATCTCTTTCAAATAAGAAGTCATTTTCGAATAATTTATTGATGAAAGTAACAAAGAAGTAGGTATACGCTAAGTATACGCAGTATAACTTATAGGCACGTTATTTTCACTTTTGCATCCTACATATTTTCTATTTGTGGTAGAGTAATATAATTATATAAACTATAAATGTCTTTCGCCATAGTGGATCCGTCATCCTGAATTTTTCAATTTTGACGAAACAATCATTATCTCCTACCCCGAAAACCCCCAGATACCAATTTTGAATAGAATCCGATCTTCATTACAAAACTCGTCCACCATATTGGATCCGTCATCTTGAATATCCCAATTTTGACAAAAAATCATAAAGTTCGACCTCGAAAACCCTTAGATACCAATCTTAAATAGACTCAGATCATAATTAGAAATTTCTATTGCTGTATATTGGATCCGTCATCTTGAATTTTCCAAGTTTGACGAAATAATCATCAACTTCAACCCCGGAAAACCCCACATACCTTCCAATTTTGAATTGAATCGGATCATAATTACAAAAAGTTCGCCATTATAATCTTCCTCAACAAGTAAATACCCTGTACATACCTATTATTGAAATTTTGGGAATTTTTTTGTAGCGCCCATGGATGTGACGTGACAGCTATGTCAGGGATGCCAGTAGGCAAAACTAAAATCTCTAGATCATTAAAAAAGAATGCAGCTATGATCTGTCCGTACCCTGTAAAGATGACTTTAACGTCAATTTCCATCAAGGGACCCTAGTTTTTGTTATGAAATCCTAAACCCTAACCTCAATTCGCAAAGCTTACAAAACCAAAACGCACATAACGCTCGTCCGGCTTGCCAAACGTAGATTGGGTGAAATTCACCTACCTCTTCCTATGGAAATTGAAACGATATTTGGCATCTGTCGAGTAACTTCAACTGTACATTGAAACGACCTCTACTAAACGGTTGTAGGTCGGGTACAATTTTGAAACGCGCCTCTTGAATCGTCATTTCCAGGTGTTTATCGCTGTGAAGTCGCCCGTTCCCGAGGACCAGCTCGACCGGCTGTTCTTCATCCTGCGCAAGCGCGCCAGTCACGTGATCCCCGCGCCCGGCAAGCGGTTCTACGTCTGTTCGCTCAGCCGCAGGACGGTGGTGTACAAGGGCCAGCTGACCTCCGACCAGCTGTGGACGTACTTCCCCGATCTGCAGGATCCCATGTACGACACTTATTTGGCGCTGGTGCACACCAGGTTCTCCACGAACACGTTTCCCAGCTGGGAGAGGGCGCATCCTTTGAGGTAGGTCTCGATTTATTTTTCTCTGCTCGTTTCATTTTAGGTTTCAGCTCAGTACGATATGATTGCAACTGAAATACCGAGTAGTATCCCATTAAGTAAAATAATATCTCAACAATATTGCAGCAGTATTTTACGAAAGCGTAGAGGGCTCACGTTACGTTTTTTTTTTTCAAATAGACAGTTGCAACTGTCTAAATAGACAGTGGTAACTGTCTAAATTGACAGTTGTAACTTTCTAAATAGATAGTTGTTACTGTCTAAATGGACACTTGCAACTGTCTATTTTGAAAAAAAAGCATTTGGAATAATTTGGATAACCATTTTATTGGAATTACGGGTGATGGAAGCATCGATGTACGTTGCAAACGTACGAAATCGTCATAGAATAATGTCTTGTGTAACTACTAAATTATTCTGAAGGCATTTAAGGTGCATCCATCGGTATTATTTGTAATGAATTGTTGACTTTCTAAAATGTCCGTAATTTTTTTTTAACAATCCCAATTTGTGTAATTTTCGTTTGAGAGTGCTTAAACTAATGATGAAATCATGATTGAGAGCCATACTGGCCAAAATTTTGTTGGAAACCCAAACAGAAATAAAATCTAAACCATCATCCATTTCACTTCTACTATAGAAAAACTACCACACTCGTTATACACGCAATACACACAGCTCGTATTATTTAATTAGTTATCAGAACGTGTTTTTATTTTTCCTATATTGTACTGTTATTGTAGGTAAGACATAGGACAGGGGAGTCAGTAGTCACTAGTCAGTGGACAGGACAGGACAGTACGAATCACGATATCTATTTAGACAGTTGCAAGTGTCTATTTAGACAGTTTCAACTGTCTATTTAGACAGTTACAACCGTCTAATTAGACAAGTTACAACCGTCTAATTAGACAGGTTACAACTGTCAATTTAGACAGTTTCAACTGTCTATTTAGACAGTTACAACCGTCTAATTAGACAAGTTACAACCGTCTAATTAGACAGGTTACAACTGTCAATTTAGACAGTTACAACTGTCTATTTAGACAGTTACAACTGTATATTTAGACAGTTACAACTGTCTATTGTCATCGACAGTTACAACTGTCTATTTTAAAATAACGTAACGTGAGCCATCTACGCTTTCATAGTATTTCAATGTAATGTGTAATGTTGCATCAGAGTTATAAATTATGAGTAGCAGCAATTTTCTAATAATTGAATGATCGTGTCGACTATTTCATAACTTATGAGTCAATTGAAAGAATTTCAAAATGTTTTCCATATAACGGTGCTACGGCTTATAGGCACTGCACTGCATAAAAACCTGGAACAAAGGAAATGATAATAAAATGAAATAATCAGGAATCTACCTGTTAGTTCACCTATCGGTTGAATTTGAGAGTTGAATAATGTATACTTGATTCTGAAAATATTCATTTTCCCAGGTATCCTCCTGATATACACTGAAGAGATGTTCATAGAATATTCCCTAGATAATATGAATACATATTCCTTATGATCCAGAGAATATCCTGAAGAACGATATTTGAGGTTGTTTTAGAATGAATTGTGAGTGCTAGCTCGAATTTTTTTCTACAGCTAAGTACAGTAAGGTGAGAGATAATATTTGATGATTTGAGCAGTGATTATAATGTCACAATAAAATTAAACAGAACCTCAATTTCCGTAAGTGTTTCTGTAATCAAAAGGATTGATTTCATATAATTTTTAATGTTTTATAGAGTTCCTGATGAAGAGCCAATAAAGACTCGAAAGCTTACAGGATTTCTAGGTTGTAGCACGTTGTAGGTTCGATCAGTAGCGATAAAATTCGGTCTCATCCTCAATTACTCGTTTATACTGAGGTTTATACCTTCTAACTGACGATTTTGGTATACTTGCTATTTTAATGAACTTCAAATTCTGATGACACTCTAATATCATTGTCATAAAACAAGAGAAAACACGAGCTCAAAGTCGGTCGACCACAATATTTAATATAAAAATAATCAGTGTGACTATGATTTCGGCTCTACGGCCATCTTCAGACAGAATAAAAAGTACCTAGAAAGTTACAAGTAGTACAGGTGTTAAACAAAATGGTAGCTGAGAAAGAGATGACAAACCCGTTATGTGGAAAACATCTCGACAATAAAAATTTATGTAATTATCGTTTCGTTATAATTAATGATCAGTCCAGCCTCACAATCAACAAAATTTGTAACGGTTGAAAAGCCAAAAAAACATCACAATAAGTAAGTTCAACATCAGGAAAAAGGAAACATTAATTTGGAAATCTACTCAAAGGAAAGACACAGAAATGTAAAAATTGAAAGTGGTAATTTGACATTGACATAACAATATTGACAATTTCGAACACAGAATGAAAAATGACAATCAATCATATGAAAAATGGGGCTCGACACCCAAAAGAGGGTGAGATTGCTTTTTTTTGGTTGAAGAAAACTTGAAATCTATAATTCGAGTTCTGTTGCCTCTAGAAAATACAACTGAAGAAACAATTTCTTCCATTTAATTTTCAGGCAACAAAATCAAGTTTACGTCGAGAAAAAAAGCTCTCGTGTGATTATAAATGACAAAACTTAGATATTCAGGGAGATATAGCAAATACTGTAAATTCAAAATTAATTTTCAAACGTTCTAAGTTACCATGATATTCACTCAGTTGTACATAAAGTATAGTATTTTTCAATTTCAAAGGATGATCGCGCACAACGGTGAGATCAACACTCTGAGAGGCAATGTGAACTTCATGAAGGCCAGAGAGGGAGTGATGAAGAACGAGGAATTCGGCGACAAGCTCAAATCCCTCTATCCAGTGGTGGAACCAAATCTGTCCGATTCCGGATCGGCCGATTGCGTTTTGGAGTTCTTGGTGCATGCCGGTAACAGGAAATTACCGGAGGTAAGAGTCTTCCATACATATTTGTTAAATACTGTCTGTAGGACAAGGAATCTGCTTGCATTCTTCTGATCGGAGACAATAGCATTGCTTCCTGCTCAATGGGGGAGACCACTGATTTTTTAAAACGACATTATCGTGAACTCTATACTGAAAAACTACCAGCGAATTAATTTTGAATTTTTTCATTCATGCCTAAGACGATGGAAAAAATAAATTAGAATATGTCCATTTCAAAACACACAATTCCTGCGCCATTTGAAATTATGTCAATTCATTGGTGTGACTGGTGCGACGTCTTATTCCCAACACGCCTATTGTCCTTGAACTGACCAATCACACTGCAACACTGCAGAATGACGAGGTATCAGAGAGAGATAGCTACAGCTCGGGACTAATACGTCACGACTCCACCATCATATTTGGCTGTTTGAAATATCGAATGAAATATGCTGATTTCAAAACGATATAGATTCGATTCCCTCCAACTTCAAATCATAATATTGATTGAAAGAGGTTTGCACGGATTTCTTCTCTCAGTGGTCTTTCAGATAGAACATGGTATTCACTACTGAAATCTGAAAATGAAAATGGTAAATTCAAAATTTATAACATCCTGTAACTCATTTGATTGCCAACGTCACCAATTGTCACTGAGAACTAAAAAGTGTCAGGACAAATACGAGTTTGCAATACAAAAAATCCATTTTATGTTGAAAACGGGAGCAGATACGTTCCCGAAACGTCCAAAGATAAGTAAAAATTTGAAATCTTTTCTATATACCTTTATTTCTCTTCTCCAAACCTTTTTCAATACAAATTGTAACTGACAAGCTAGTGAATTTTTCTTTTAAGCTCTCTGATAGGAAAATTCTGTAAAGGCAGTGACATTTTGGGGCAAATCATCTGATTTGTCCTTATTACACCTATATTGAAATAGTATTCATATTTTAATTCTTCATTTTATAGAGACGAGGAGAGGAAATCCCAAAAAATCTGGAATAATGAACTCTTCCATTAATTTTTATTCATAATAATATGAATAATTAATGTGTTATTGAATTGAATTGTAACTGACAAGCTAGTGAATTTTTCTTTCAAGCTCTCTGATAGGAAAATTCTGTAAAGGCAGTGACATTTTGGGGCAAATCATCTGATTTGTCCTTACTACACCTATATTGAAACAGTATTCATATTTGAATTTTTCATTTTATAGAGACGAGGAGAGAAAATCCCAAAAAATCTGGAATAATGAACTCTTCCATTAATTTTTATTCATAATAATATGAATAATTAATGTGTTATGAATCAAAATCAAAAATCCATCAAGAAAGTTTGAGGTCACAACAAAGGAAATAACTAGTTCCTGGAATTGTAATTGAACATAATAATGCTTCTTCGCTGACGAGAGATTCCAACGATATTGAAGACACACGTGAATCGTTGTACTCGTTCCAATTACTCGAATACACTGTCAGTATTTTCCACTGATACCTTTTTTGCATTCTACTGAAATTGTGCAGGGAGTGTGTAAGCTGTTCTTCAATTGTACGTGATGAACAAAAACAAAGAGGGAAAATGACATTTAATCTATGATCGCTTGATGGTAAAGCTGGAATGTGTTGATGAATTCCCATTTGACAATTATTATTAGTGAACCGATGGTTACAAATTGAAAGTATTATACGGTTATTTATATAGGGCACTAGTGAATTTCAGACTTTCGTGCCCACTATATATTGAGTATTGAGTTGTAAAGGCCATATAACTTGTTTGAAATCACCATTGTTATTCTGAATGAAGACCTAGTTAGTAGGCGTGTTCATTGACCCAACATTTTCTTTCCTATCAATGGCGCTAATTTTCTGAAAACACCAATACATCACCTCAGATGAATTTCAATTTTGATTTGATAGTCTAAGTTCAATTAAGTTGGTGGTTTTTTGTTTGTTTGATAATGGAGTGAATTTGAGGCAATGTGCAATGACTTTAATTACACCTGGTAAAAGTTTTTACCTACGGGCACCATGGAAAATAGGCAAGAACCCACGAAATACAGCCTCAGTAAATAGCTCATTACGCACGGTAAGCAAATCGCACAGTTCTCGTATATTCTGCAAGTATGTCATGATCGCGTAATCGCCGTCAAAAATGCTTGACATAGCAAGGACAAAAATATCACAAACGAACTGTTTTGAAAGACAAATACACTGTAAATGGCCGTAGGTAAAGTATAGTACGTAATGCATGTTGTAAAGCAATTACGCACTCGTCGCTTCATGACTGCGTGCGTATCTTTTCAATTCGTGCGTAAATGCTTCTTAAAATACATATTACGTAATATACTATTTCTGGAGCCACATAGGTATTATTCATTTTGTGATTATGAATTGATTTTCCAAAGATGAAAATAGTGTAGTGAGATATTATTGACAATATAGAAGTAAATATGCAGTTCCTATCTTTTTATTCTCATTCTGCATTCCATTATTCCGATAAAGTGTAAACAGTAATGATTCATTATAGCTGATGAGTTTCCAGTTTTTACCCAGATTCAAATAACAATAATGAATCGAGAATTTTATCACGGCATAAACAACACCTACTTATAGACTAATCTAGACGAACGAAATTATTTAAAAAGACAGTCAATTTGCATGTCCTGGATCTGCCTGGAAGCATCAGGAAACTGTTTGGCGTAAAATGGTCTGAACATAATAATATTATCTTTCCTGATTGGCTAAGGTCCAATGGTCTCCTAATAACCTCAAACCATTAATTTCTCTTATTCTTATAGGAATTATAGGACCATTATTCAATATTGAATGAGTAAACTTTTAACCCAAAATCGTCTAAAATAGATGAGCAGGTTTGGCACCTCACTGAATGAATATACAAAACAATCATGATTCCATTTGATTTAAATACTTGCTGTACTGATGAAAGCAAATTGAAACAATAAATTATTCTTCACCCACAAACCCACCGATGAAAAGAATCATCTTTAGTATTATTAATAGTGGAATTCTTACACCAAACAACAAAGCACTTCATATTTCCTAGGATTGGCGAAAATAAAACGGAAAAATTAATATATCCCCTCAATTTTGATATTATTTTCATTAAGCCGACCCCTGATAATAATTACAAAACACTTACGCCACGTCAATGTCATGAACGACTGCGTATTGAGCAGAAGCGTTTTCAGGCGAGCAACTGATCCTACATTTTCGGGTTGCTGCGATATGATTACTAGCAGTCTGGATAGAGTAGTAAGTCTGTGATAAACAACAGATTTTTGTATTTGAAGAGAAATTTTGTATTATAAACTTGACAGAAATGTGGATCGTGACAGATATGAAAAAATCTTGGGTTAGAATAGCAAATGAATAACTTAGTTCGTAATAGAGGTCACTAGCTAATTGAAAATGTGGTCTAGTAGAAATTCAGTGTGGTTGATACTTTCTAGAAGTCCATCATTTTAGGCATCTTATAGATTTTTGAAATCTACGGGGTGAAACATTTTTGGGGGTAGAGACTTCCTTATCCCTCACAAACTTTTTACATGAGAAATTTAATATATCTGTCCAATTTCCAGGTTTTTATTAACTTTTAACTGATTTATGATTTTCTACTTAGTAGGGTTGTGGAGGGGTAGTTTTTGGTTCACAAATTATTTTACCTCATAGAGTGTATTCAGCAGGTCTAGAATGACCCGTTTCCATAAAAAAACATCAACGGGCAACGGGAATTTCAACAGATTTAGATTTTGTACTCCGGAGGTTTGAACTACCCCTTAGTTTCTGGTTCACAAATCATTTCATTGTATGAAGGTTTGATCTATGTAAAATTATTGATTCACATAATAAAATCGCGATCAAGAGATTTCCCAACTGTTCTCATAATTTTATTGTTTTGTGGGGTAGTTATGGGGTTGTTGAAAAATCACAAATTATTTCACTGTTAGGAAGCTTATTCAGCTCCTTCAGATTAGTGGACTCGCATAAAAAATTTCAGCAATAGAAAAATTCCTTCCTTCATATACCATATAAGTGAACTTAAAAAAGAGTTGCCAGAAAAACCGTTGCTGCTTTCACACCCGTAAGGTTTTGTTAGTTTTTAAAGTTGGTTGAATTTTCTCCAAGAATAAAATTTATGAGAAATGTAGACAAATTTAACATGTTTCAGAATGGATAGGTTCAGTCATTTCGCAAACGGTTCGTTTCTGGAAATAAATTGAGGAGCAATAAAAGTTTCTAAATTGAACAGTTCACATAATCCGGTAACTTGATGATGACAGAGGTGTACTACTAAAATCTTTGGGTGGGATAAAGAAGCCTTTACCCCCAAAAATGTATGATCCTGTAGATTTTGAAAATCTTCAAAATGCTTGAAATGATGATCTTCCAGCAAGTAACAAACTCACTGAATTTCAAATGGATATCCTCAATAGTGAGCAAGATATTTCAATTAATAGAAGAAAAAAATCTTTGACCTCTTGTAGCTCTGGTACTGCTCGAGATCGGACTCATGTTTATAAAGACTCTTGATTAAAATTATGAGATCTATCACACATTTCAGTTTGTGCCTCAAAACTTGAATAACCCTCTATATATTATGGTTATATTGTCAATGAAATCGAAATTATCATTATAAATTATCATCTGTAGGCTGTGATGACTATGGTTCCTGAGGCATGGCAGAACGACCCTACGATGTCGGAAGAGAAGCGGGACTACTACCATTGGGCGGCCTGTATCATGGAGCCCTGGGACGGTCCCGCGCTCATCTCCTTCACCGATGGCAGACTGATCGGCGCCATCTTGGACAGGAACGGATTGAGACCGTCCAGATACTATATCACCAAAGATAATATCATGGTTATGGCCAGTGAGGTGAATGACACTTATTTCATATATAGATTATTTATCGAATCGTTATATTTTTCGACCAGAAAGCCATAAAATATTTAGATATTTCAAAATTCTTAGGTCTGGAAAATGTTCAGTGTTTCAGGTTTCTCGAATATAATCGATTTCTTCTGTTTCAGGTTGGTGTATATGATGTGGACCCTTCCGAAGTTGTGTTCAAGAGTCGCCTGAAACCGGGCAGGATGTTGCTGGTCGACACTCAGGAGAAGACCGTCATCCAGGACATCACTTTGAAGCAGGAAATCGCCAGATCGAGACCTCATACCGAATGGCTCAAAGAGAAGGTGAGAACAAATTTTATTTGATTTTGTGCTATGATGTACATTCAATATTTTAGTCGAGATATGGTCACACTTCAAAACCCTTTCTTACAAATTATAAAACACAAATTTTGAATGATCAACGTTGAATATAGTTATATTCGAAGTTATTGCTAATAACATACATAAATGTCAACAGTCACAGCTGGAAAAGTATTGTTCATAGAATTTCGGAGAGATTTACAACTGATACAAAAAAAAATTAACATGGCGAGCGGCAGACATATGGATTTGGAAATTGAATGAAATGCAGACTGTTAAAGAATGATAGAAATTTTATTTTTCTGTAACCGACACAAAATTCGTCCATTTTAATACGAAAATCAGCTCTTGATTTGACGTTTTTATTATTGCCACAAACATAGATATGTTGCTAGGCAACAATTTTAAAAAGGAGGTACGAGGTCATCAAGATTAAACAACATTGTTACGGTTGATTATTTGGGTTGGGACGCATACGACCTGATTTGTTCCTGATTTCGGCAGATTCAAGCCTTCAAGCTTCACATACTTGCTTGATATGTATTTCATTATTTTCATTCGTTATTCTCTGGATCTGATTGATTGGATAACTTGTTTTTGAATAATCACGGCCAGCAATACTTTTTTTGTCTCACAAAACGATATTGTATACCTTCATTTGATTATCGAGCCAAACACAGTGGAATATGGAGAGAAATAAATAATCGCTTCTATTATTGTTGATATGCTCACTAACCTAACATTTGCCACTTCTTTTTCCTTTACCTGGCACTGGCGCGGTATTTGCTATTAGGGCTGACACCTGGTCCAAATCAATTCATCGATTCATCGACTCAATGGAATACACAAATGGGTGGCTGTGTTTATATTGAAACTACAATTCGAACTTCCTTGAAAATAGAGTGAACCTGATCTGTAAATTGCACACATATGGCACGGTATCCACGTTTCGGGTATAGTATTGAATTTCTGCAAGGTATTATAATAATCTGTCAAGTAAGTCACATTGGTGGTGACTCCACATATTTATTTTAGTTGATTCTTTCGGTTGCAGAAAAAATAGCATGTTTCATTAGGATCAAAAGTGACTTCCCCTGATTTATTATCATTGAAGACTAAAAGTTTACGTGGTTTAGAACAATGTGTCACTTAAATAGCGCCCCTTACTCTACAAACACTCAGTAATCCTTTTTTGAAGTGTTCGTGCATTCTTTGAACAATTGCCGCAGAAACTTTGACGATTTGCAATCGAATGTTGTTTTTGAGGGCTTCCATACCGTATACTCTGTTTATAGACACATCCTATGTACTGAAAATGATGAAATGTTTTCACCAGCAAGTTGTCTGGCTTCAAAATCACGTGGCTCCATTCCTTTGGACGACAGCCATGTTATAGGGGTACTAATGGAGATATCAATTCATAATGATATTTAATTAATAATAGAACGCTTCGGAATGCCTGTTATAGAATTGAACCTGTTGGCACCTGTTGTAGAATTGAACGCCTGAGAGATTGTTGAATTAAAGCTCGATTGCTCTCGATGTTTTCTGGGGATAGTGACGGTATTATGAGACATCATTTTTTACATGGAGACATTCCAGTATCCTAAAATGTATTAACCCACTCGAGAATTTGATTTAGATCGAAAATTCGGCGATATTGAACATTGAACGGAAGGCACGCTGGCACCCAAATAACACATTTTTGATAGGAATACTCCATTCCAGCGACTGAGATTTCCCATCCCCGTTTTTTCACAATCCATGCGTCTCTCGCTCGTCACCTCTGAACAAATGTGTAAGGTGTGTTCCTTTAACCTAGTTTGATATGGGTTCTCTAGATTGACCAATATATGTTTGCATACAACACTAGTAACTAGTTAGGTTCTCTTTGATTGAAGAAACTGGCAATCCTGAAAGATGGGATGTTTATGAATTGGCTAGCGTCGATAGTAATGATACCTCATAGATATGGATATTATTAACTGTTTGTCAAAATGGATTTATTCAATGATTTCGAAACTATTTTCAGATTACCGTGAAATGTTGTTCAGAATTCTTATTCTTATTAGGTACCCTTCCTATTCTGACTTTAGTGAACCTGTAATTTCGAAAAAAATAGTAACGTTAGGAAAACCTACTCGTTTTCTTTACAGGTTAACTATGGTGGTTTCAAAATTTCAACTATCCAGCTGAATTTGAACTATGGAATGATTATCTTGACCAATACTATTTTGAGAGATTCATAATTTTAATCAAACTATCAAAAACTATTTCATTTGTTGTGACATAACCCTGTTTAGTTCTGTTCAATAATTATTTGTATTTATTTTTTCATGACATTTCTGTGAACATCAGATGGTGAGTTCAAAATATTTTTGTGATTTAATTTTGCAGTATTTTAGTTTTTTCTGTTGTTCTTCCTGTTTTTTTTTTCTGTAGTTGTATACAGGATGTCCCAGAATAACGTTCATATACTCTGGAAGACGATTCTGCAGATAATAATAAGAAACAATGTTCATATCGACATGTGTCCAAAATACAAATCTGGTAGGAAAGACGATATGAACTATTACAGGCCAATATCTGTGCTCCCTATTCTTTCTTAAATTATAGAAAAAATCATGAATAATAATCTTCTTGAGTTCCTCGCAAATAACAATCTATTGTACAGTAGTCAATATGGATTCCGTAGGTCAAAGGATACAAATATAGCCGTAATGGATGTAATTTTGGACATCCAGTCACGGATTACTAAATGAATAATATTCAATTGGTGTCAGAGGAAGAATTCATGATTGGTTCACACATTATTTGACAGATATCAAGCAGTATATTGAAGTGAATGATATACTTGTGGCTCCCTAAAAATATCACATGTGGAGTACCGCAAGGATCAGTTCTGGGACCAATTTAATTTTTAATTAATATTAATTCAATATCAACTCTGAAATTGAAAGGAAAGCTAACATTATTTGCGAATGATTGATTTATATATCGAAAGAATTTGAAGATATCGAACGGGATATTTATTGTTTGATACAACATAACAAATATTTAGAACAAGTTCTAAATTTCAGCTGCTGTTTGACGTGACGTCACTGATGACATCAGATCTGTGATTTGTTGGACCGTGAGACACAGCCTTTCAAATTGCCGTAAAACGAACCGTTTTAGAGAAAAGTATCATCAATCACAATGATTTGGAGCCTGTGCCATTTAGTTAATCTGGATGTTTATTTTTTGAGAAAATTTCCGCAATGGAAATTGACGTAATTCCACAAACTTCACTAGTTAAATTTTTCTTTATAACAAAATGAAAAATGATCCTTTTCTCAAAAACAGTTCGTTTCGCGGCATTCTTACAAGAGCACCTTTTTCATGTTAAAGTGTTCGGAGAATCATATTCTGGTAGTAGAATTGAGATGAGTCTTGAAACAAAAAAAACTGGGGGCTTTTTTATAGCGTCAGTTACGAGTTTCGCACCTCTCTGTATATTAAATAACGTTTTCCGTACTACGAAACGACTTGTAAGATCGAATAACCCTCAGATACCAAATTTCGTTATTCTAGAATCAATTATATGGAAGATAATTGAAGGAAACTGTATTTAAGGATATACCTTCAAAGGGCTCTAGCGCCTTTATGAAGCATTTTCGGACAGATAGGAACATGTTTTCTTATTTTTATCTTCAAAATCAACTACCGGAGTATACTAACGTTATTCTGGGACATCCTTTATAGATTGGTTTTTCCTGTAATGCTTTTTTCGGCATCGAGTGTGCTAATGAAATTTTAGTTTTTTCTTCTGACGAAATTATCCACATGATTGAATAATTTTAATTCGTTCGAAGATTACTTTGGACGAACTCAGGAAAGCCCATTTAGATGCTGGTAGAACTGCGAAGCCCAAGTACGAGACTAGTGGTTTGGGTGATAAAAGGTTGCCCCTCTATGGTTACTCCACCGAAACCATCCATATGTTGCTGTTGCCGATGATCAACAACAAGTAAGTCTAAAAAGTAAGAACCTTTTTCCTTTTTGTTCTTTTTTCCATAGATAATAGAGTCTATGAAGAGATGATTCAACGTGCATTTCAGAATATAAATATATTATTATTATATTATTATATACTGAGTCGAATCAACTATTCAATAAATGTTTGGGGATCTTATTCTAAAAATAATTTTAATAAAATATCAACATTATATAGGAAATCATTAGAAGGCCTGTATTGTGTTCCATATGATACACCAACAACTGAACTGTATGCTTCAACAAAACATATTCTTCAGAAGAACTGTACAGATTAGAGACTCTGAACATTTCATACAATATCATGAATAAAAATTGAAATCTAATATCATTTCAACAAGAAATGAAATTAGAAATGCATGGTCATCATACTATGCAGCATTATCTGAGTTCAATAAACTACCAGATGAAATTAAACACTGCAGAAATATAGGTACATTCAAAAAGAAAGTAAAAAACTGATCATTTCTGAGAGGAATGTTTAAAATGTATCAGTAAGTTATGTCCTTGACTAGAATTCTTTTCTTTGTTAATTGATTGTTGTATTTTATTGTGATTTATTATGATATCCTGATTTATTATGATTTATTATTCATATTCACTTCTACTCATGTTTGTGTAGTAGTTCATATATTATATTACTTATACTTATTCTTTCATAATTATGTTCTGCCTCACAACAGGATCTGTTCTGACTGGAAGATATGTTTGATAAATAAATAAATAAAATAAACTCCCAAGAACTTATAACCTCCAAAGGTTCGAAACCATTCCAACTCCTCACGTTGTTCTTCTAACATTATAAGAATTTCCTTTCGTGCTCTCCGAGAGATAAAAAAAGCTCGCACCATTGAAAATATGTTAAGTTTTTCACTTCTCGCAGGAAAGAAGCCCTCGGCAGTATGGGCAACGACGTCCCGCTGGCTTGTCTCTCCAACTTCGCGCCGATTCTCTACGAATACTTCAAGCAGCTTTTCGCCCAAGTGACCAATCCGCCGATCGATCCTTTCCGCGAAAAGGTGGTGATGTCTTTGCAGTGCCCGATCGGACCTGAAGATAACATACTGGAACCATCACCGAAACAGGTAAGAGCTGAACATTCGAGAAAACCCATGCATTTGTCGTTATTATTGGGTCATATAATGAACTGTTCAAAAACCATGCTCATCAGTATGCAGTCATCCTTAGTTGCCAATAAAGAATGACAATCGCAGGGTATAACATGAAGTTCTAGTCATGTTGTAGCCATCTAGTGGCGAAGCTCTAAGGTAGGATCAAGAGATCGCGACACACACTGTATGGCGCTGCCATCTATAGTCACACGTACATACCCTTACGTCTATACGCTACAGAGTGGTACTACAAGTGAACCACTATGCTGACAGATGGCACTACCTGACATATACTTGAGTGGATTTTTCCACCGACCTATTCAACTGCTAGATCTCTTAACTAAGAGATCCAGGATGAACAGAGTTGCGCCAATTGTCAGCAAGAGCGAGACAGTACTGTTTCAACTCTGTTCATCCTGGAAATCTTAGTCATGACATCTAGCAGTTGACAAGTGTTGATTGCATTTTCATTCAATAAATGATTTATTTTGGTTGAAATTTATTTCTTATCTCATTACCGCAGTAGTTCGGTAATAGATTTAAAAAAAGTACTAGTGTGGTTAACGTCATTATGACATTAAAAAAAGTGTCATCATAATCATATAGTAACTTTTCGGCACGAGATTAGAGAAAATAACATACTACGCTTTGCACTGTATCTAGTAATCATATTCAATCTGATCAGTCGACACCTGTTGGAATGTTATCCAAAATTCTTGCGATATCGTGTCGAGATATTTCGAAGTTTGGCATCTCATTATAGTGTTGTAAAGCCAATCCCTATGTTCTGGATTCACACAGTATATCGTTATATCGTGAATAGGTCTACCTTGTTTCATCATTCCATTTCATGTATATTTATATTATTGCAACATAAATTGTTTTATTGTTTATATCCATACATATATATTTTGAATTGCTGAATCTTTGGTTTCTACCTCAACCTCATTTTCGGGTACCTACATTTATCAGATTTCCTAATATAGAAATTATTTCTTGATTGGATCATAATTATCGGACGATCATTGATTATTGGTTGATAACGTCCAACGCGGAACGCGTCATGGATTTGACGTTCTTTGAGTATGGAAATCAAGGATTCATCCCCTCTTCAAAACACTTAGTTGTAGAGTGTTAGGTGTGGATTTAAGAAGACGTGATTCAAGAAAGTGGGACAGTATTATCAAATGCCGAAAAGTTGATTATATACTTGAAGTTACACCAGATTCGAGTATCATTGTACACCAACCCCTAACTACCCCAACAATAGTAAAAGATATCCTTAAAATCATATATTCCAAACCTATTGATTATTTGGGGACATCACAGGCAATGAATAAATTCCTTGATTAGTACTGAAAATCATCAAATATATTGAAGGTTGACAGGATCGATAGAACTATGGGTTGCGTGCAAGAACTGTCAGATGACCGACCCTGGAGGTAACACATTGAAACGTGCACGTGACCTATAGTGTCCATCAGATGATAGCTGTTTGACAGAACATGAAATTCGTGCATCGAAAGATGAGTTGAATGCAGTAGTTTTTCAGGTTCACAGGGTGTGGTTGAAGAACCCAGTCATATCGATCGCCGATCTGGAAGTGCTGAAGCAGACGACCCATCGCGATTGGTCGACGCACGTCATCGATATCAGTTTTCCCGCTTCGGAAGGCGTGACAGGCTTCCTGAAAAAGTTGCAGGACATCTGCGAGGAAGCTGACGCGGCTTCCAAAAAACACCAACTCATCGTCCTGTCAGACAGGTTGGCTGGCAAGGATAGAGTACCTATCAGCAGTTTGTTGGCATTGGGTGAGTCTTCATTTTATTTATCATGAGGGGTTTTTCCTTCGCGCTTCCTAATGTATTGTCATTCCACTCGATGTTTATCATATACAGCGTGAGTCAGCAGAGGTGAAAGGTTCCGTGTCAAAAGTACGAAAAAAATCAAGATTTATGCTAATCTCTTCAGAACCCTTGTAGGAAAAAATTGAAACTTGTAATACTATTCCAGATCAATCTATGTAATATTGTTAAGCAATGGCGTAGTTATCAAAATGAATATCTCTTCAGAACTAAATGCTTTAATCAGCAAAACCTGTCACAATGTACTTGACAATATTAACATCACAAACGTCAAGTTGATAACAGAAGTATATCACATTCTCCCCCACTTTATATTTTTTATGTCGCGCTAAAATACCCTGGTGGACGTCGATTTTCGTAGGTCTACGAAGTGTATGGCCTTCTTTCTCTTCATCTTCTTTGTTTTCATATTCGCTTCGACAATGTTTGGAGCAATGCTTCGTCCTTCAGTTTGATTAACTTCGATATCTTCCAGAGATTCTTGAGCTTGGGACTCATTTGGTACTCCACTGATTCCTGAACAGGACAATCTTCTGTATTAGGCCTGTTTTCTTTATTTGAATCCGATATAAAACTCATATCTCCTCGAGAAACGGTAGATCCTCGTCCACTTTGTTGACACACCAGAGCATATTCTGGATTGGCTTCAATAAGCTCTACTTCCTCTACTAAGTGTTCATACTTCGTTTGTTTCACATTTTTTTAAGAAATACAGTTTTCGAATCAGCTAATTAACATGCAGCTATAACCAAGAAGGTAATGATGTTCCATAATCGGATCGACGTTAGTGATTCGTATGTCCTTCATATTTTTTCCTAGACGAATTGTGTTAGGCTCGTCGATACTTAACCAAAAATTAATGACATTCCACGATGCCTAAGTGCAGAGGTTCCAGAGATATTTGCGAAAAACTAAAGATAACACAATACACATCTGAATAAAATTGAAATCCAGAGCCTATGCCTTATACTTTTTTCAAAATTTGAATTTGAATGTGGAATTTCGGTCTTTTTTTGATAAACAGATGAAAAGACGATTAAAAATAATCCACAGGGCATGAAAGGTGCTGACTAGTCTTGAAGGATAGCAGATGACCCCTTCATTCGACCATTTCAATTTGGCACACGATGCACCAAACACCCTGTATAATCAGTTGTTTCTTGTTTCTGTTATTCTGTTCATACCTTTAAATTGAATTCAAGTTTAAGGAGATATCAATGATTATTTGGGTAGCTGAACATATCCTTTTTATTTCAAATTGTATCTTGGAAATATATATTCATAATTTTGCTACTTCTATGTATTGTATTTTATTGGTAAGTACCTCATATAGTTCTAATTTTTTGTGTTTTTGTATTGATTTTCCTGTAGGTTTTTAAAGTTTATATTTTTATTCCACAACTACCTCAATGTAATGTTGTAACATTCCAAAATTCCGACAACCGGTATGCGATTGTGGATAGCATAAAATAATCAAAGAAGTCTGAAGTCTGTCTGATCAGCACAACACAACACCCTGTACATGAACGCGATACGCATAGATTCGATTCCAAGAAACTGGTTTTGAACTGATCGAGAAATATGCCTCCCACTATTTTATAAAATCGCCGACGGTATTCTGAATTATTAGCTGGCAACCCAAGAGATGATAAAGAGTATTGTTAGTTGCCTAGCGCTGATCAAAACTGAAATGATAAAAATTAAAGTTGTATTTGAGATCAGAAGTCACCGATTGGTCGTTATATGGTTGGGATTAAAATCCTGATATTTGGAATGTCTACATTATTTCACAAATTATTCTATTTGTGACAGTTTCTCCTATTCCCTTTGTATTTCATTTTGGCGGTAGAGAAATTCGAATTCCCAGATGGCGCTGATGTCGTTTTCTCAGGGAACTTGCCGATTGGTCATGATCGGTTCTGGAACATACACCGAGGTGATAAAAGAAGAAAACACGCCAATTTTACCGGCTTTTGATTTTTTGGAAGACACCTGAAGTGTTGGTAGTTCCTATCAACTTTTGTACCGCAACACAATTGTGGATTTGTGCTATCTAAAAAGTCCCTGTCGGGATCTTCAAAGTGTTCAACTCGCCATTGAAACAAGTAATTATTGTGCCATTTCTGAAGTCACAAATTCCTGGACTTCTGTGTCCGAATCGTGCCCGAGTCTCCGGAACCTGAGGTGTGATCGGCCGCCATTTTATGACACATGTCTTCACTCTTTGAACATGGGCGTGCTGTCCAAATCTCTGGCTTGCCTGGAACGCTGACCTGTGTACGAGAAAACGTTAAAATCCTGTTAACTACAAGTCAACCCTCCTTTGCGGGGTAAGTTAGTTGAAAACCCATCTAACGGGAATAGTTGGTCACAGGTGTTTTTTTTATACTCCAGGGTTGTACGTGGTAGTTAGGAACACGCTCTACCCTATTTTCCTCTTCTCCTCGATTCTGGATATGGAACGCCGAGAACAGGCGAGCCCTACCAGACTCCTCTAATGCCTATTAGAAGATCACCTTGGACCCAGCAGTGAGGGATTCTACACCTGTGGGATCTTTATTCCGCACGTAACCAGGAAAGCTATACCGTCTTTTTTATTATCACATACCTATATATTTTCCTATTTAGGTTTTCGTATTATACAAAATGGTGATTGCCTAGATTTTGCGCCAGTAAATGACATTATATTCACCCGCATTATCATGCCTATATGACGCAACACACAGTATACTGAGTGGTCGCTGATTCACTGATTTTTCACAGTCTATTGTAAATGGTTTATAACATCTATCTTAGGTAGTTACCACGTGAGTACTGATTTATGCAACATAGTTTACGATTATCTCATTGGTGTACAATTTCCCAGTTTAATTGTCGAGGGTGATTTTCTTTTTAAAAGTAAATGTTTGTCGAGTTATTTGGTGTTTAATTTCTTCAGGTACTCACAGAAATACAAAAATTCCGATGCAGTTCATAAATCCTTCTTTATTAGTTTTTTTTTGTTAACTTTTATATAATTTGAGTAGTGCTTCTTGGCTTTCCATTGCTCCCACCCTCAGTGAAGAAGTAATTTAATGAATTTATAGAGCCAAGTGGCGCCCAAAAGTAATTTCCAGCATTTGATAAGAAATGGTCTATCTTAATAGAAAGTGATTACATAACCCTTACCTACACCTTTGCTCACCAAGACGAACAGCTGCCGGAGCCGTAACTTATTTACTTATGTAAGTAAAAAATGTTACAAGTGGCGCTGTCAACGTGAGGCCCGATTGTGTAATCAATTTTTCCATTTCAACTTAATTTTTTCATCTGTGTGAGAATTATCTGAAGAAATTAACTAAAAATAATAAATAAAGGAACATAATTTCCATATGTCACTTCTCGGCACTGGTTCTTGCGTTTTCCACATACAGGGTGTCCACAATACATTTTGAGGAAGGCCTCATAATATTTTTTGTGGTTCGAAAGCTGCCAACTGATACATGTTGGGGTAAGTAATTTTGTCTTGTGTTGATATTTTTGCTACATTCTGCGATTTTATTCGAACTGATCGTTTGGCGGACATCTCGGCTGATTTCTGATCTCAATTAAGATTTTTTTTTTTTCCAATTGAAATATTTTGCTCAATTTTATTTGACATATAGTACAATTTTGAATTTGATATTTTTTTAAAATGGACGAGACTTTCAGACCAATACACCTACTGTTTGACGAACTAAATTATGAACTACTTATTAGAGGAATAATGACAACAAAATCTCAGGATGACAGGAGAAAAATTTTAGGCCGCATATTGGAAAAAGAAAAAAAATAACCCAGGAAGTCATATAGCTATGAATCTTTATCCTTTTGATTTCCTCGCTGAAAAAGTTGCAATCGAGTCGTCTCTGAATTCCATTCAGGCATTGATACTTGAATTTGAAGGGTCATCTCAAGATTCGTTATATAAACGTTTGAAATCTCGAATTAATCATCTCATTGGTAGAATCAAAAGAATGCCGACTCCTGCTGATAATTTACGGGAGACTACAACTTTCAAAAATGAATCTTTGGCCACCTGTTATATTCTTGAAGCTGACTTAGAAGATAAACTTATAATTCCTATTAACACAGTTCCTGATCCTAGTCTCCCTCAATCTACGATGCAACCTGTTATCAACATTCCACCACCAGTGGTTACATATAATACCAGACAAGCACCAATTTCGGATTGGGGACTAAAATTTAGCGGCGATTCGAAAGAACTTCATACATTCCTTGATAAGATTTCAGAATTTTCGCAAGCACGAGGTTTAGATAAGGCGGAATTATTTAAAGCGGCTGCCGAACTTTTTACGGGCGATGCGTTTTTATGGTTTATGCAGGTAAAAAGTAGTTTAACTGATTGGGACTCTTTAGTGATTAAAATGAAGACAGATTTTTTGCCTCCTCATATAGAAGATGATATTTGGGATACAATTAAGTCTCGTAAACAAGGTAAAAACGAATCAATTGTTATATTCTCAGCTGTTATGGAAAACTTGTTTAATCGACTTAGCCGCCCTCCTCACGAAACTACTAAAGTTCGCACTATTAGAAAAAACTTATTACCAGAATATATTTCCCATTTAGCTTTGACAGATATAGACAGTGTTGCCGACTTGATAAAATTATGTAAACGTTTGGAGGAAGCGAATTATTTGAAATTCAAAGCCAATACCCCATCAACTCTAAAAACTAAATCGTCAGAGGTAAATTGTTCATGCCATGAATATAATAATAATAATTTTAGTGTCGCGGAAATGCAAGCTAGTAGTTCTAGAATAGCTGATACTTCTTGTAACAGTCATTATAGAAACAGAAATAATAATTTTAGAGATTCCAAATTCAATAATAAACCTAGAAATAACAATTTAAGATTTCAAGATAGAAGAACTTCATATCCAAGTAATCGAACTTTTTCGAAT